CCCAATATACTTTCAAATATACAGCTTTGAAGGAACTATTAAAAATATAAACATATGTGAATTTAAGCAATATAGATTCTGCAACACTCATTGAAAAATAAAACTTGCTAAAGAAATTTAGAATTCAGGACTGCAGAGATGGCTCACCTATTAAGAGCACTTACTGTTCTTCTGCCAGAGGACCTGAGTTCAATTCCCAGCACCCACATGGTGGCTCACAACTATCTGTAATGGGATTTGATTCCCTCTTTTGGCATAAAGGCATGCATGCAGATAGAGCAATCATATAAATACATCTTTAAAAAGAAATTTAAAATTAATAGGAGACTTCATTTGCCATTGAGGTTGGCATCAGCTTGCTCTGAGCAAGCCTGTTTTGCTGGCTAGTTGGAAGTCTCTCTCCCCTCTCTGTCTCCACCTAGAAATTCAGAATATATTTTGTTGCCGGAGCCATACCATTTATGAAAACACAGGAACATTTTTGCATGATTTTAATCACTGTGAATGTTCAGTGGTGTCTCTGGGTTAGTTTATTTGCCATTCTATCATCAGCATTCCCCATGTTGTTCAATAGCATCTATTATTACCATTTTAATAGCTACATAATATTCCACTAAGTGGACTAGCTATGATTTCCTGAGCCATTATCTCATTCTCAGGCACTTAGGTCTGTTTCCGATTTTTGCTCCCATACCTTGCCCTCCATTTAGTTCTACCCTTGGTTTAGATTGATTCCTTATGGTAATTTTCTCCTATATTAGATTACTCTGAACCGTTTTGAGGCTCTTGGTACACATTTCCAGTTCTTTCTGAAATGACTGTGCCAATCTACTGCCAGCAGCGTCCTTTCTACCATCCCCACATGGACTGAGAGCTGTGCTCTCAGAACACAATGAAGCCAGAGAGGTGTACACATAAGCTGAAAGTGTATGCTATTTTGATGGATATCAGTCTCTTCTAATAGAGTCTTTCTTTATCCACCTTGTCTCTCTCTTTCTACCTAACTTTTGTCAAGAAATCATTTGAAGGCTGGAGAGAATGCTTACTGCTCTTTTGGGGGACTGGCGTTAGGTCCCCAGAACCCACATCAGGTAGCTCACAAATGCCTACAAATCCAGCTCCAGGAGATGTGACATCATTTTCCGGCCTCAGTTGGCATTTACACGCATGTGTATGTATATATATATATGCACTAAGTATGAGTTCTTCAAATAAATCTCACAAAGAAGAAGTCACGTCAGCATTCATCACTGAGAGTCCTTGTTGCAAAGACGATACAAGGCTTCCTAAATCTAATGGTGCCTGACCTGGGGCAAAGACCTTTCCATCTCTGTCCAGCAACAAGATACAGGGAAGGCTGAAGGCAGTACTCCTAGTGCATACTCAGAACTAGAAACTGTGTCCATGAGACATCTGTGACTTACGGTCTTCCATGTCAAGGTAAGAGTCAGTATCGAGACAAGGATTCGTGTTTCTCGCCATGAGCCACATGCCAGGTCCACCTGTGTGAATTCTGGAGCCATAGACTGACTCTGCTTTCCAATGGAACAACTGCCTCTCATGCGAGTGGAGAGCTGGGAGGGCTGAGGAGCTGAACTTGGCCCCGAAGATGCAAGCATCTACTAAGTACAGAAGCCCTGGTATGTGGGCATACCGACCGCAATAGTAGCACTGCTGCCCAGCAAGCCTGGGAGGTTAGTCCGGGAGACAAGAGAGGGCCAAGTGGTCAGGGTGTCTGCACAGCTGCCTCTCAGAAGAGGATCTGCATACTCTCTGAGGTTCCACAAAGCAGAAATAAGGTCCCAGGACCTTAAGTTAGATCATCTTGGGTGTGGCTCAGTTAGCATTTTCTATCCTTGTCTGTGTTCTCTCTTTCATATCACATTAAAAAAATAAGAGAATTCCTGAATTTAATTGTAAAAGGTCTCACCCTTACTAGTTGTGTGACATTGTGAGGGTTATTAATGTTCCTAGGTTTCGTGCTTCGTTTGCTAAATTGGGATGAAAATGCCAACATGGAGATTAAAATAACATTTAGCAATCCCCTGGATGAACAAAACAAATGAAATAATAAACTACAAATCAAGATGGCTGTGGTGACACAGGCCTGTTATCGCAGCTACTTGAGAAGCTGAGGCAGGAAGCTCACAAGTTCCCGCTTGGCTAGATTATAGAATGGGTTCTAATCCAGTTTGGGTAATTCAGCAAGACACTGTCTCAAATTAAAAGCTAAGGACCAGGAGAATCGTCCAGTGATAGATCACTGGTCTTACACGGAGAAGCTTCAAGGTTCAATACACAGTACCAATAAACTGGATCAATCAATCAGTCAGTAGAACAACTACAAAAATATCAATGGTTACATTTACTGAGTTAATACAACCTATTTGCTCTGAGTTAAACAAAAGAATTTATGCAAATTATCTCACTGATACTCTCCGCAGCCTCCCAGGCTAGAAATATTCAATAATTGGCATCAACAAAAAGCCCAGTGAATGGTAATAGTGCTATGTCCTTTAATATTAGTAGTTCCCAATGAGGAATGGCCCAATTAGCTAGCGGGAAAGAAGAATTATTGAAATGAGTATTGCCAAGACTAGCCGTCCCCTGGGAAGTTTATTAAAAGGACCAGAGTGCTTCTGACTGCATTTATAGCCATGTTTAGTTGTTTATCTGTATCTGTGCTGTTTGCTCTATAATCAAGTGACATCCTCCAACTTTGACATTGGGCATGATCACATGACTTGTTTTGGTCAGTGGTAAAACAGAAACTTCAGACAAGTGAAGGCTGAAAAGAGAACTGTACGGTTTTCCTTCCCTTCTTGGGTCCCTGATCCTGATATGAGATCAAGCCCAAAGTATCTTGCCAGAGATTGGCAGATCATGTGGAGAAAAGTATATCCATTGCAACTGAGGCTACCTGGGCCATCTAGCTCCAAATGACCTGTCTGCTGATCCAAGATGCACATAGGCCGGCCTGATTCAAGTCAATAGAACTGTCCAGACAAACCATGGATCCGTACAAAGGTCAATATCTGTTCTGTGTCATCAAGGCTATACAGGTTTTGTCACGTGACCGTATTATGGCAATAACTGACTGATAAAGTCATGTCCAGAAACTCACAGGTGCTATTTCCTTTGCACATCTAGTGAGTCAGCATTGTGACAAAATTTCACAGGGATTCTATCATTTATTTGTTATTCCATGCCCCATGAGATTATGCTATGCTACCTTCATTTTAGAGGTGGAAAAATCAGACACAAATAGCTTAAATACTTTCCCCACTTTCCCATGATCATTAAGTGAGAAAGGCAAGGCTTGACCCTGGGAATGTCAGCCTCAGAGACCCCACTATACACTGCTTAGTTTGTCCTGGGAAGCTGCTCCTCAAACCAACCTGTTTGGAGCCTTCCACTCTGAGCTTACGGTGCTTGCTTATGGCCAAGGCATTCTGCGTGCATCCTCGGGGGGGGGGGGGAGTCTGTGTAGATATAAGATCTACAGACTGAAAAGCCTTGTGGTGTCTAGTGCTGGTCTTGATGAAGAGTTCTGGAAGTACCAGCCATCTGAACTACCCAGGAGGCCTGCTGGAAATCAGCTGAGATCCTGGCTCTGTCCTCTCACCTCTTCTCCACAAACGCACACTGAGGCTTCAATTGATTGAACATGTGCAACAACTCTCTTTCCCCCAGACCTGCTGCTCTCTACCATTTAGCCTTTGTGACAGTTTCTTCTGGAGTCTTCCAGAATCAGCCTTTCTAACACAGCCCTCAACTCCACTGGACCACACTCTCAATATACACGTGATGACAGGCCAAGCCCAGGACAGACACCAGCAATGGCTGCCTGAGATGAACTGCCTGTAGCTGGCTCTTAGTCTCTCATGTGTTTTGCCAGCACAGCCTCACAAACCAGGCACTAATGTACTAGTGTCCTGTGGCTCTAAGTTCGCATTCCTCTCTAGTCTCAGTGCTTCAACGCCAGCAGGTCAGGCTCTCACCTATACAAATGTGTTGGCGACAAGTTCTAGGCCAGCAGCCAGGCAATGGGCTGGAAACAGAGCTATCTTCCTGGGAGAGCCAAGGTCCCAACCTCCCCTTCAGTCATGATCCCTTGAACAGAGACTCAGCAAAGCAGTCTTTAGCGTACCCCCAAAGGGCCTGTCTCTAAGAGCAGCCAGAAAACCTCTTTAAGGAGTGATGGGTGAGAGCCGTGGTTTCCTACACATTAGAGTAAAGCCCTGGGATAATCATCATCAATCCATTTACACTGCTTTAATCCCAGCACTTACTGTGTAATCGATAACTTCCATCCACCCGCACTTCACCGAGTCCTAAGCATGTCCACATCCATTTCTTCCTCTGCAGTCCGGACAAAAGCTTGCCATCACCTCCATGACATGGAGGAAGGAACTGACCTGGAGAAGGGCAGAGCCTCCCTAAGTTCATCCAGAGCAGAGCTAACGATCATGCAGGAAACCACCTAGGACCTTACTGTAACTTCTTGATCCTGCTGTCTGTCCAGCTGTATCTATTGCAATGTAGAAACCGGCAACAAATCCTCTGGAGCAAAAGGAATTCTGGATTTGAAGGGCTAGTAAAAGTTGACGAAGGCTGAGTAACAGCTGTTGGCAGCATACCCTGAGCCTGGAGATCACAGGCAGCCTGCTATACTGGCCATGACTCTGGGGAAGAGAATCCCACTGAAGGAATAGAATATGTTTGACCTCGGGTCTTAAGGGAGTGCAAACGAGCTGTCTTAGAGCAATGAACTTCATCCTGTTGGAAACTAAGGGAGGATGGACATATCCCTGCTTTCTAAAGTGTGGATCTAGAAGACTGTCCACAGAAACAAACACAGAGGCGAGCTATCTGTTAACATGCCATTCAGTCCTTCCCGGTCTCTGCCAGTTTTTCTCTGTGTTTCCCAGGGTCATCTCCCAAGGAAACCACCAGCAGTAAAATCAACACATGCCTTTGCTTTGCACAAACTTGAGACCAATCATCAAGACATGGATTTCCCGACAAGAAGGAAGAACAGGGACTGAAAAACACCACAGGGGAGAGACTAACCAGCAGCAGCTACGACAGAGGAAGGTGAGGTCATGGGGGTCTTTGGAAGCAAATCAAAGTTATCTGGCAGGAAAAAGACCATGTCTGTCCTTTGGGGCCATCATGCATATGTTTCAGGTAGGATGTGTGTGGAAGAGAAGGGAGCTTGAATAAGTATATATTTTGCTAACTGATAACTAAGCCAACAGAATCAAAGTGTTGAAAGCCACCAAATTTGACATAAATGAGCTGAAGTTAGAGCTAACCTGAAAATTCAATAACTGGTTGGGGAAGCTTGCCCAGTACTGCCTGGCCCAGGATGAGCATACTGCTAACGGCCATAGTGGACACTACTAGGTTCCCTTTACCCCTTGAAGGCAAGTGGATCAAGAAATCTCAGCACCCCACTGGGACCTTGGCTCCCTCCAAGAAATGCCCCTAAATTAATGAGATTCCCTTTGCCCATTAAGTACCACTTTTCCCCAGTGGCGCACAATGGCAGATTGACATGGGCTACACGAGGCTAGCCCTTTACTGGAGGGGGGTGAAGGAGAAAGCCCTGTCCATTGCTTTTATGGCCCATGGGCTAAACTAAGATCTTGTAGTTGTTTTTTGAACAGTTACTAGAAACTGTAGCCTGAAGAACAAGTGAAGGGAAGTGACTCCTACAATGCTATTATTATTTTTGTTCCAATAAATGAAGCTTGATGAAGATCAGAGGGCAAAGCAGTCACACCAGTCAGCCATACAGGCCAGGGAGTGGTGGCACACACCTTTAATCCCAGGACTCAGGAGACAGAGGCAGACGGATCTCTGTTACTACAAGGCCACCCTGGTCTACACAAGATTGAATCTGTCTAAAAGGAGAAACAGAGCTCACACAAAGGTGATTCCTGCACTTGGGATCACATGCCTTTCATACCAGCACTAGGGAGGTGGAGACAGCAGTGATATGGCTGGGTGCAGAGAGGAATTTAAGGGGGAAGAGATAGGAATTCAGTGGAGTGTGGAATGTGGAGTGTGGAGTTTTAGAATTCTTGGAGGTAGAGGTAAGAGTTACTGGCTGGCTGCTTTGCTTTTCTGATCTTCAGGTCAAGCCCCAATATCTGTCTCTGGGTTTTATTTTTCCTGCTACAGAACCTCACCCTGATTCAGTATTCCTTTACAAGGTCTTCTAGTATACCACACCTACGTATCTGTCTACCTTAGTCTCTGCCTCAGTGGCTTCCCACCCAGCATGGTTACGTACATGCCTGCATAGTATAACAACTCATACATGTCTCTCTTGTAATGAGATGGTGAACTGTTTGAGATAGAAGAAATGCCCTTCATCCCTTCGTCTCAAGTCTCCCTCTCAGCATCTGTCATAGAAAAGACGTTCAGTGAACAAATGAGGGAGATAAACAAATGGCCCTTCACATTCGGCACTCTGGTCCAGCCAACAGCCAGATGCCCCCCTTGACCCATCCCTCTGGCGGGCTTCAGGCTCGATTTCTCAGTCATTCAGCCTTGCCCAGAAGCCCAGCTGTGACAGTTAATAGATGAATCCCTTCAATTTGCAAGTTCCCCTGAGTCTCATCCATAAAATAAGGCAGATCTCCAGGGGGCTCCACAGCTAGGACTTGGCACTCACCCCCATGACCTTGCCTCTGCCAACACAGCCCTTTAACATGCCACCCTCTAGCCCCAGGAAGACAGAATGGGAACCAGGAGGAAGGGACCGAGACTGTATCTTCCTGAGCCCGCTAACAAGGACAGTCTGTGAAATCAGCTGATGCTCATTAAACCCAGGCTCTAGTGACCAGTTCCTCCGAGATTTCAAAACGGAGAGAAAAGCTGGGCAATCTAGATTCTGCTTTCATCCCATTGATGCTGAAAATCACATCTAAGTGGTTTGGATGAAAAGAAATCATTAATAACAAAGGTAGGAGATAAGCCTCGTGGGAAAGGATCTGGTAGCACTACACCCTTTAATGCGTGGAGGAAAGAGGCTTGGGTGTGGTCCATCAGTGTCTTTTCTCTCTCTCTTACTCAGAGGACACAGCTCCCCCTGGGGTGCTCTGTGGGTTTCTCAGTACTCTTCCATGGCCCCGGGGCCTGGAGGCATCTTGTTTAATTTGCCGCATTGCTAGCAGCCATATTGAAGTCAGATGCTTTCAAGAACAAATGGTTCAATTCTGTCATCATTTCAGACTCCAGGTTCCTTGTGAAGGCATTTCATTCACAGAGAACGGGAGGCTGGTGTCACTTGTCTTTATCCTATATCACTTTCCTGAATTTCCAGGATACCCTTTCCCTCCCAGAGAATAAATAAATAAACCTGTAAGACAGGACTGCAGTCAGCCTCAGCAGCCTTATGCCTCCTAACGGGTCTCTTTAGCAACCTCTAGAGCAGCAGTTCTCAACCTTACTAATGTGACCCCTTAATATGGTTCTTTATGTTGTTTTGACCACCCAAACATAAAGTTATTTTCAGTGCTACCGCATAACTGCAATTTTGCTATTGTTATGAATCGCAATGTAAATATCTGATATGCAGATGGTCAAAGGTGACCCCTGTGAAAGGGTGGTTTGCTCCCCAAAGGGGGTTGCAATCCACAGGTTAAGAACCACTGCTCTAAAAGAAGTCTGCTCTGTGATTAAACCTACATGAAGAGTTGTTCTGGGTATGAGAGAGTCTAGAGTCTAAGCTGAATTTCCTCAGAAACCCAAGGTCACCAGAGAAGTCCACAGAAGTCTATGTAAATAGAACACAGCCCAGCACACCAAATGGGTCATTGTCAGGGCCTCACAGGGAGCCTTTGGCCTCACTGCCCATTCAGAACACTCAATCCCCTATTTATTCACCCATAACTGGGGTGATCTAACCATTATCACTCATGCTGTCTTCTCACTGTGTCCTCCAGACTGAATTCACTGACACACAGGCTTAACTTGATCAAAGTCCACCTCTATCAGAGAGAAAAGAACGTTGTTCCTAGAAAACCTTAATAAGGCCCTTCTTCTGTGGAATTAGCTTAAGATCCTTAAAGAGCTGAGGGCTTTACCTACTGCAAAAAGTGCTTGTTGAGTGGAAGGGAGACACAGCCCTCCCTTGCTTTCCTCTGAAGTTGGAGGCAACCCAGCTGATTTAGTATGAGAATCTCTTTGTATCCACTTAACACTCAAGGGTATCCAGTACAAAACATTGAGTGACTTACACCTGCTCTAGGATGTAAGCAAGACTCATTCACCTTAGGTCTATATCTCTAAGGCAGAAGGATTAGTATAACAACAGTAAGTGGTCACAAGTAACTGTTGCCTCCTTAGGAAGAATGTTCCCACTCTGCTTATAGCTCATTGATAAAAAAATAAAATAAAATAAAATAAAAAATAAAAACCTTAGTCACATACCCCTACTCAACTGCATGGGATCCTGGAAAATATAGTCTTTAGATGGTAACACTGTTGCGAGATAAAAATCCAACCTCAATTAGAAGTTACAAATTGGAGGCTGGGGGGTGTTACTAAGTTGGCAGATTGCTTGTGTAGTGTGCACAAGGCCCTGGAATTGATCCCTAACAGTACATGAAAATGCATTAGGTAGCACAAGCCCACAATTCTGTCACCATGGAGAATCATGAGTTCAAGGTCATCCTGGACTATATGAGGCCCCTTTTCAATTAAGAAAAAGCAAGCAAGCAAGAAAGCAAGCAAGCAAGAAAGAAAGAAAGAAAGAAAAGGTGAGGGAAGATATTAGTTAGGTAATTAGATGTCTCTTTGATGCCTTAATTTTTAATGGAAAAGAAGCTCAGCCCTAAACTGGGCATCTTTATCAGCAGCCATCTACTACCAAGACTCAAAGAAGATCTTGGGAGAGGAAGTATAAAGAGTAGGAGAGCTTGAGGGGGTGGGGAGGACTGTGAGAAGCTGTCTTTGGATATGTCAATAGCTATCTCATGAACTCATGGCATCTCTGACTGTGTGAACAAGATCTACAAAAGACCAAGCTATCTAAAATCCTCGCATAGATGGGGCAAATGATCTTCAGGTTCTACTCCTTACTGAGGAGCTAGTGGTAGTTGATGGCTGCCGGGGAGAATCATAGAGATGGCTACTGGTAGGTTTCCCATGGCTCAGCAGATGGCCCATCCTTGTGATATATAGGTAGCACTAGTTGGACTTAATAGGCTATCAAAAAGAAGATATGAATTTAGGAAGGAGAGGCGTTGAGGAATATAGGAAAAATTGGGGGCAGAAAAGAAGAGTGTATATGACCATATTTCATTCTATACATGTGTGAGAATCTCAAACAATAAAGGATTTTAAAAATGGCAAAAAAGAATCTCAGAAGAGTTACTAAACTTCCTCAAGAAAATAGCAAAACCAAGGCCCAGGTATCCCAACCAGGACTCAGTCCCCCATCCTATCATCTAATAATGTAATACCTGGACCAACCACTGAGGAATTTGCAGAGAGCACTACCCAACACTGATATTATTAATACACATGCGCGCGCGCGCACACACACACACACACACGTGCGCATGCACATACTAACACACACACTCTCTCTCTCTCTCTCTCACACACACACTCATGCACACATACACCCTCCATCTCTTATCTCATCAGGGATTACATCATTTTCAAAAATATATCTGTCACCTCCATCAGTCATGAAAATCAATCAGCTAGCTACAGAGGAGGGGACCATGTCAAACCAGAGGGCAGGAATAAATTGAAATTGGCCAGTGGGTTCATTCTCCCCAACCCCTTGATACTTTCAGGCAGATGTAGCCACAGAGGCCACAGCTGTGGAAAGATTCAGTATGCAGGGAGTCTGGGCTTTCTTTCTGTGTGGCTTGTGCTTGTGTCATGGTTCTACCCTGACAATAAAGCAGAGGTCACCCCCTGAGCTGTTCTGAGATCCCCCAGAATACATATGCAAAGATAAGGCAGAAGAGAAAAACCAATTTCCTCCCAATATTTTTAGCGTCTCGGGAAAATAACCATAGAGCAGAAGATATTCATCTCTGCCACTGTGGCAAAGAATGACAAGAGCAGAAAGTAAAAGCGATTGAGCCTCATGTGGGCACAGTGAGAAAATAACACAAATTAAGGAATCCCAGTGATGTTCCATCTCTTGGGAAAATACGTAAACTTGCTTCTCCAAGGATGCTCTTCAAGAAAGACTGCCCTCCCCCCAACCCCCCAGTCACACTAAAGAAAGGTCACTTTACCCACTTTCCAGGGGGATCCTTTCACATGTACAACAAGATGGTGTTTAAATTCAGACAGTGTATGATCACAAGTGGTTCCACTACCAAAAGGCATTTGGAGAAGAAAACCAGTTTTGATGCATGTTATTATTAAGAGAATAGGGCAAATGCATTTGTAGAGAGGATCTTTGGAAGTTATGTTAGTAAACAAGACAATGAACACAGATTTAATTGGACCAAATAGAATTAATGAGCATGCATAAACTTTATCACTTGCCAAAATGAAATATAAGAAACTATGTGGGGGGCTGAGGATATAGCTCAGCGGTATAGCACTTGCCTAACTTGTGGAAGGTCCTTGGTTCAATCTCAGGATCAAAGAAAATAAAATAGGCACGGGCATATTATATTGATTTCTAACTTTAGAAGAGTTGTTTAAAACATTGTCCAATTATCCATCTCACCCTGTTTTAAGTTTATCAAGTAATCATCTGTATTTCCATTTTGCAGATGAGAAGGCACAGGCTCTCAGATCTGAAGAAATATTCATTATGAGACAGAGGGAAGGGCAGATCTGAGATTCATGTGCCAAGACTACAAGCCCAGGGGAATTTCTCATCCCCAAGGAGAAGTCTCAAGTTTTTGGAACATCACAGATAGTATTCAAATGAGGTGGCATTGCAGAGAAAGGAGGCAGGAGCTTTAGGCCCGGGCTCAGGTCCTCTGCATGGCTATTCATCTACTCTATAGCCCATAGCAAAAGATTTTTTTCTCTGACCTTTTTCTTCATATAAAAAAATTCAAAAGAGAGAGATGATTCTGGATCAACAAGATGGCTCAGTAGTTACTTACTGCCAAGACTGAAAACCTGAATCTAATCCCTGGGACCCACACAGTGGAAACAGAGAACCAACCCCTACTAATTGTCCTCCATTTTCACATATGCCATGGCATGTGTGCCTCCTCCACATACAAATAAATAATTATAATATATTTAAGAGACAGTTCTACTCTTTGATTGCTAGCAATACTCAATTAGAGATTGTAAGTAAGAGATCTGCCATAAAGTTTGTTTCTATTATACTCTAATGATCAAAAATGGCTCTTTAAACATTCATTATGAAGGGGGACACTTATAGAAAGTCTTTCAAAGGAACTATCTTCTCTGAATCCAAAATACCATGTGTATGGTTGTGGCAAGTGGTCTTTTATGAAACACATTGCTTGGTACTTGCCTACTGCCAGTCTGTGCTGGACACTACAGTACCAATATATTGGAGACACTGGGGTCCCTTTTCTTGAGTTTTCCCCAGACTGCTGTGGTTCTCAGCAAGTTCCCTGTCACTGGGAGATCATATCCTAGCTCTTTCTTGAAACTTGTGCCTTTCCACCAATCATTATTTGCATGGTACTTGGAAACCCTATTCGCTGTGTTAGAACCGATCCTGTCTACCATAGTCTGTAGTGGAGTTTTTTGTCAGGACCACTGACCAGCTCCCAAATAACCACACATAGACTCAGCTGATAGCTTAGACTGGTTACTAAGTAGCTCTTACAACTTAAATTATCCCATATTTCATATCTAAGTTCTACCACATGGCTCATGGCCTGAAACCTCATTTTCTACATGTCCTGCTTCCTCTGTGTCTAGTTTGTGAATCCTTAGACTCTCCCTCTTCTTCTTCCCAGCATCCTCTGTGTCTGGCTGTCCCACCTATACCTCCTGCCTAGCTACTAGCCAGTCAATTCTTTTATTAAACCAATCAGAAGAACCCATGGCAAAGACACATCTTCACAGTATACAGAAAGACTATTCCATAATAGTCCCGTTGATCTTCTATGAAGGCCAGAGGGGAAGTTGATGCTATGACATTCTCTGAGTTCAAAGTAAAGGGCCTGGCCACTTGCCAAGGGTTACTTCCCCATCTTTGTCTTCTCCCTATCTCTATGTCATGTCACATGATTTACTGCAGATTTCCTAAATAGGTCATGTTTTGGTTCTCACTGAGTGGCTATGGGGGTAATCCGAGACTGGACATACTCAAGCTTACCTCTGAACACCCCATTATACCCTTTTTAATGACAACCACTTGGGACAAACCAGTCCTATGCAGTTAATAATAAGGAGAATTCACATTATGTGTAAAGTTCTTACTAGATTGCTAATAGGTAAACTCAGCAACTAAACCTCAAAGGGATGGTGGTAAATTGAAGACACCATCAATTATCACAGACTTAAATAATAACAAAATAAAAAGATGAATGGTACTGTTGTCTACAGGAGCAAAGACATATCAGGAAGTAGCTGGTGCAAAGGGAGGCAGAGAGCAAAGGCAGAGGCAGTTCCAAGTCTGTGCCTGATCTTCAAAGGCCAGTGTAGTTTTGAAACTCTCTATCAAACCATATTAAAACACACTTACATTCTTTCTCCAACACTAATTTTAATTTTGTCATAAAATAATTCTGTAATACTGATAAAATAAATTTGCTTTTAATATCATTTGGTTCTTTACAACTTAATAACATCACTTCCTCTGGATTTTTCTAATCACTTTGTACTTTGAGAATTCTTTGTCTGGCAGGAAAGCTAACTAATAGTTGAAATGAAATTGTTAAACAGCAAACTTGATTTTATATATGTCATGTAGACATAATATGGAGAGAATTAAACACTTGTTACTTTTAATCATACTGTTTTTCCAACATATGTTTGAGTCTAAATGCTGTCATTCCGGGCTCTAAAACATTCTTGTGAGCAGTGAGATCTCTTGGTCATGAAGCTGAATGAGAAAGGGGGTTGGACAGGACAGTTAAAGTTGGAAGATCTCCTGAAGGCCCTTGAATGTCAGTAAAAGCCAAAGAGAGGGATGGGTAGAAAAAAACATAGAGTAGGGAAGGAAGATCCAGAGACAGATATGTGCTGGCATGATTCAGTTGACTGTCCTAGGGAGGGTGACGGAACTTGGAAGGGGGAGAGACAGACAGATTCCTGACTGACAATAGGGAGGGAAAGATGATGACGAAGTGCAGGAGAGGGGTGAAAAGGCCCTTCCTTGCACAGCGAGGTGAAGGACACTGAAAACAAGCCCCTTCCAAGACAGACAAGCACACAAAGAGGGGACTTGGGGGACATCTGAGGAAGTGTCCCTGACAACCACTGAGAAACATCAGTTATGTCAGGCTGTTCCCTCTTGGAGTTGGCTCACTAGGAGCTCGAAGGTTTCCATGCCAAAGGGTTTCTATGGAGATGGGTATGGGCTGAGCCTGAAGCTGTGACATTAGAGGTGCTGTGAGGTCCAGAAAAGCTAATCAAAACCAGCTCTCAAGACTCATCATCTTCTTAGGTCACAGGTCATGCTCTGAGTGTCTGAGCCACTCCGCATGAAGTTGCTTATGTGTAGGCAGCCTCAAAGGAGCCAGACTGTCACTCCAAACAAATAGAAGAGGTCCAGTGAAGTCCAGCAAACTCGTCTATGGCAATACTACTGGTAAGTAGAGAACATATAATCTAGGTCACACTGGTTCCCCCCGGCCACCACATCAGTCACTATGACAGTGCTGATGAAAAGGAGATAAAGAGAGAGAGACATATCTTCTTGAGCTTTTGCGATATGCAGTTAAATTAATTTTCTCAGGCTGGAGACACAGTTCAGCAGTAGAGTGTTTACCTGACGTATGTAAGTACCTGGATTAGATGTCCATCATATATAACCACGAATTAATAATTCTGCCATTTAGTCATACTGAGGCTTGCCTCAGCCTGACAATGGAAAAGGTCCAATAGCAACACTTTATATCTGAACCTATTGGATATGTAAATTCTCCTCCCACTCTGAGAAAATTCATTAGGATAGAACAAAATAAATCAGCAAATGGAAATAATTTTGGAAAATCCAACAGAGTCAACTGGAAAATAAAAGAAAATGATAATTATCTGCCTTAAAAACTTTCCAGGTTCCACAAACCTGGTAAGCCAGTTGGTAATAAGTATAAAATAAAAAGTGAAAACAGAATGAATAGCAAAATAGCTATAACTTTTTTTTGAAAGCACAGTAGGAATCCAGCCCTCAGGGACATAAAGGTAGAAAGTCCCTCTATCCCTCCAAGGATGATAGTGCTGTTCTTGGGTATGGAAGGGTGGTCATAGCCTAAGAGAAAAAAAAAAAGCTGTTGCAAAATGGAAGGCTGTGAGGAAAACAGAGATGATGAAGGAAGGAAAATGTCCAGTGCTAAATCAGAGCGTACCTAACTCAAGTCAAAAGGGAAGATAACAGTCTGCCGATATTTAACATGAATGGATGCCAACAAGGCAAAGAATTGATTCTGTACCAAATAACCAAATTAGAGGTTGGGACTTTTAATCACAGATAAGAAATAAGAGCCATCGGTTATCAGCTCTCAACACCAAATTTCTTGTTTGCAGAGTTTTTGTCGCAGGCAAACACAAAGGAATAAAGAGAGAATGCAGGCTCACAATAGCTTCAGACGCACATGTCCCAACAAACAAAGCCTCATTGTCCACAGTTGAGCACTGGTTGTAAATTGATCCAATTTTTTAATAAAAGAGAACAAAGTATTGAAAGGCTCAGTGACTCAGCCTAATTCTAGGAATGTATTCCAGATAAATTTATTGGGCATAAAGATCTATCAAGATAGCAATTGTAATTTTAAAATATTTTAAAACCTAAATGTTAAAGAATCAAAAGTGGGATGTAATCAGTTATACATCCATGATAGCACGTCAAGACGCAGAATACTATTTCTTCTCTCTTGTCTCTATTTTACCTATTCATACCTCTGGTACCTGTCGTGTCCTTATAAGAACTGTCCATGCCAAGTCGCTGCTGGCTGCCATGTTGCCAGTCCCAAAGAGGCATTTCGAGCAGATCTTAGTGGGGTTCCTCAGATGGCTGGCAACTGTCTGTGCTGTTGACCCTAAGGCCATGTATCTCTCTGGCTGTCCTGTCCTAAGGCCATGTATCTCCCTGGCTGTCCTGTCCTAAGGCCGTGTATCTCCCTGGCTGTCCTCTACTCCTCTAAACACCTACGTTTCAGGCTCTGCCTCCACACTCCCTGTCGATGTTCATCAGAGTCAGCATCTTTGTCTTCCCCACTCTGAGTAGGTTGATTAAATTTATTAGAAGATTGTGAGAGGAAAAGGTGTGTGTGCTTCCTTGGGACACACACTTTGTCTGTAATCCTGCTCCCTTGCTATCTGATGCTGCGTCTATGGAGCCGTGAAGACTCTGGGCATTGTAGCTAACAGATAGCAATCCAGCATAATTCTTCTCTATATACATGCAAATGGTTCGTTCTGGAAGAGGGACAGTTTTCCCTCAAAGAAATGGGTCAGTTTTGTCTCATTTGCATATTCATTTCAATATTACTAATATGTAGATAGTCTGATCTTGAGTTATCCTCTGCACTGAATGTAACTCCACGTCAGTTTCCCCATTCATGAATTAAATAAAATTATGCTCATCTATGCATCTCTATGGCAGCAATGATGTTATCTTGTCTTGAAATTATGCTTATTTAATAGTTTTAAATACATGAAGACAAAAAACCCTAAACATATGTCTCCATTCCTGAGTGTCCTCCTTCACTGAAGAGCATAGGCAGGCATATGGCTGACTCTTGTTGCTCAAGGCAATTTTTAATAAAGTTGCCCTGAATTACAGAATACTGTACCATGGGCTCCTGGAGGAAATGCATGGTTATGTTCCTCTCGTCACAATATTAGTTTCAACTGATGAATGCATGTCCCTGTTTCATGTGCGTGTTTCTGCTTAGGGACACCTTGTTTAATAGACATAGCTGACCCATTAACATTGAACGCACAGACAACGGCACAGTAACTCATGCCTGAACAGAGCTCCTTCAGCATACCTGCGTCTCTGGAAGGCACAGCCTAGCCTTCTTGTGCTTAGGGGTACCGGTTGGCACTTTAGCGCTACTACATTTTAAACAACAGAGTTCCCAACAAAAAGCTCTGAAATAGAGAAAACATTACATATGAGCACCCACCATGAGGATGTCCATCTTTTACAGTATTGAGCAAGACTAAGAAGGCAGACTTGCCACCTCACTGGGCCTCCATTGATAATGTGTATATCAAAAAAACTCAGATATTTTACGGCTTGGTATGCACTTATGAGTACATTTATGACAGGATGTAGGGGCAGGGAGTGAACTGTGGCATTGGTGTTGGTGTTTATGAAATTTTGTGGGATAATGAATTTGCAAACATGGAATCCAGAAAGAATAAGAATGGATAATATCCCATGTCTGAACTAAACATAAAATGTGTTTCCTCCATTGGTCTTCAGGATTAATAAAAATAAAAACAAGCTTATGATTATTTTATTCGCTGTGTTACATTCCTTAATCCCAATCCCTATGTTTGGTACATAGTGTTATTAAATGTATATTTTAACTTATCAGACTACAAATATACTTAGGTGTACGAAATATATTCACATTATATATTAGTTACTTTTCTCATTGCTATGACCAAATGCTGATAAGAAGCAATTTAAGGGATGAAGGATTTGTCTTGTCTCTATTTGAGGGGTCATGTCCATCACAGCAGAGAAGGCATGCCAGCAGGAGCATGAGGCAGCCCGTTACACTGTGTCATCTGTCAAAAATCAGAATGAAATGAACAGTGATGCTCAGCTCATTTTCTCCTTCTAAATGCAGTCCGACATCTCAACCCATGAGATGGTGCTGCCACATTCAAGATGGGCCTTCCCTCGTCAGATTAATGTTTCTGAAAACACCCTCATAGATATACCCAGAGGAGTGTTTCTACAGTGATTCTAAATCTGGTCGAAATGACAGTGAAAATCAACCATCACACCACATACTGCTCAATAAAAAATCAACTGTTCATAGACTATGTAAGTATTGGCTCAAATTTGTGTAAGGAGATGAATGTGTTTGCATCTGAGAAACAAAGCAATAGCAGACAAAAGCTGTAATGGGCAAAACTGTGCTGGAATTTGGAATGGTTATGTACAAATGGTGAAATTTATGGGCTATTTTTGAATTCTACTTCAGTGTTTTTTCCCCCACATCTTCCAAGATAAAAATGAAGACGTAATTCTTTCCTCAACTCCTCCATGCCAGGAGGATGTAAACACCTTCCTTTGCCTTTCCGCTCTCTGCAGCAGATGTCTGAACAGCTCCGAGCACTGAGGCCCTCTGGACGGCAAGGAAATGTCATCGTCAGCACCCAGGCTGCCAATACAGATTTCACAGCTCAGCCCCACAGGGCCCATTACCATCCCACATAAAATCTCTTACCTAATGTCCTTGACTATACATGGTCAGAATCAAGTGCCGTATTCTTAGGGTGCTCTATCTCGCATATTACAAGGATCCCATTGCTCAATCCTTTAGAACCCTCAACTCAACGTAAAACAGAACCCCTTGGTAATCATGCACATCTATTCCTAAAGCTGCCAGATTTACAGCCAGAGACAGAAGTCTGTCCTTAGCACGCACAACATCTACTGTGCTCAAGACAGAATATTGGCCATTTAATACCCATGGGGTGTCTAATGTCTTTGGATGTCTAAGATGCCAAGGCCTTGATCAAATTCTTTTAGTGGGTATGGGAGTAACCAAACACCCATATCAGCTGTAAAAAGCAACTGAGGGTCACATTATTGACTTCTTTCTTCTCAGGAATATTCCCCTGGGCTCAATTTTATTGTGTTTAGTTCATATACTATCCCATATAAAACAGTCTGGGTCAAGTTTAAATGGATTTGCTGCTTAACCTTCAAATAAAAAAAAAACTTTTTCAATTAATCAGAATCTCTGCCTCCTCTGTCCCATGGTTCTCTCTTCCCCCTCCCCACCAAATATCTAGTTAATCCATGACTCAGAGACTACAGAAACCTCTGCAGTGGGTGGAGGGCACAGAGGGGGAACTTGGAGCCCAAAGAGGCTGTTTCCTAGTCATCATGAAATTCCAGTTGGTAGACTATCGCTTCATTCCCTCACAGCCTCAGGACCACCCCTGCATAGAGCAGGAACCATCATCGAGTTAATCTCAGCTTACTCTGAAGACCATGAGACTCCGTTCAGAGAGGGCAATGGAAAGTTAGAAAGGTCAACACTCTGCACACACAGAGTTGCCAATCACATTGCACAGGGCTGTGCTCTCCGCCCAAAGTCAGTTCCCACTGCATCGGTTCTGTGTCTCCAAATGCAAAGGATCTGCAATAAGGGCTCCTTCTTCCATCCCAGTGTTCCATCCCACCTGTTCCTCATGGGACTGTCTGACCATCCCTTCCCATCAGTGTTGGGATATCATGTCAAATACATGAGAAACAAAGTGGAAACCTCACCATATACCAGAGACCACCATGAAGCCACATTCACTAGTGAGCTAAGTGCACAGTAAGAACCATTCAAAATGCCACCTTGGCAATGCCTGTCTTCAATGGATGGTATTACATGGGGCCAAATTCATTTCTGACTGTGTATTTTCTAATGTTACAAACTTGTTTCTAATGTGCACATACCTCTTCACAACCTCATGCATTTGACACTCATTTTTTTAGCTGTTTACATACAATTCCAGCCAGAACAGAGCAGGGAGCTGCCCTTGGAGATATAACATCAAACGGAAACAGCACATGGTAGTCAGACAGACGCACAAATGAGCAGATGGGCAGGGTTTTAAATGTTTTACAAGGAAAGTGAAGAAGAAGCTAACTTAGGTTGCAGTGTGAAGGTGGCACATGTAGGGTAGTGATGAGTGAGTTAGGTAAAGGGGGTGGAGGGAACGCTCCATGGAGGAAGGGACAACTCATGCAAAGACCCCAGGCTAGAAAGGGCTTGCGGTGGAACTTTGTTATTCCTTTCGGAGTTTCATGTTGCTGGAGACCAAAGTCAGGACTTTGCTCTTACAAAGCACGTGCTTTGCCATTAAGCTATGAGTCTCTCCTACCCTGAACTTCTGAGGAAATGGAAAAAGATAGGAGTATTTGGCCTGTGCAAGCAAGCCAAAGAGAGGACAAAGTCAGTGGAGATAAGAAGGATTAAAGGGAGGAGGGTCTCAAGGACAGCCTAGGTTTAGCAGTGAGCTGAGAGCTAACCTGGGCAATTTTGTGAGACTTTGTCTCAAAATAGCAAAAGAGAGCTGCAGAGTAGCTCCTTAGGATGTGTGTCTAGCAGAAAAGGTGAGTTGGAGCAGACTTGGGATCTTACCTCTCTGTCTATAAATTGGGAAAAATTAAATAAAATGACAGTACACAGTCCTGGCAAGCTCACACTGAGTTGCTCATACCATTGGAAGCAATCTGTGAAGTACAGCAAAAGCTGTCTCTGTCTTTTAATATCTTCCTTGTAACTTTGTTTAAGGAAAACCATTCAAGCAGAGGACTATAGGGTGGCAGGAAGGCAAGATTCTAGAGATGCCTAAATGCAGAGATACAGGAATCGTTTAGCAAATTAGGGTAATTAGACTCCTGGGTCACTCTAGAGCCATTCAAACAGGGTACAAATTCCTTAAAAACCTATAAAATATTCACTTTCTGATGTTGAGTGACAAGCAGGGATCACACGTGGCATACAGGCCATGATATTGTAAGGTTTGTGTCAGTGACATGAAGACAAACTCATCTAATTAGAACATGGGATATATTTTAGTTTCCTAAAAAGTTGTTTTCAGATTTTAACAATTTGATAACTTGTTATTTCAAGGCAAAGAGAAAGGAAAGAAGGCCCCGAGAGTGGTTGCATCTGCTCTCAGCCCTGAACCCAAATGGCTGGAAGACTTACCCACTGCTGCTGCTGCTGCTGCTGCTGCTTCTGTTTTTGATGATGATGATGATGATGATGATGATGATGAGTCCAGATGTGTTCAATGAGGGGTATCTGAGTGACAACAAAGGATGGGTGTCCAGCCCCCTAGTCCTTAGACCAACCACCCCCCTCACTTTCTCTCTCAGCCTAGCTCCTGGCACACTCACCTTCCTGAGCCCCAGAAGGACACATGGGTTAAGCCATAGAAATCATGGTTCTCCAGCCTCCTACTCCCAGTCAAAGTGATCTTCTACCCATCCTCAGTCACAGTAGATCCTCCCTCCATTACAGTAACTTCTCAACCCTCAAGACACACACTAGGTCCTCCCCCCAGTCACAGTAGGTCCTCTTCCCCCCACTGGTCACAGTAGGTCCTCCCCCCAGTCACAGTAGATCCTCTCCCCAGTCACAGTAGGTCCTCCCCTCAGTCACAGTATGTCCTCTCCCTAGTCATAATAGGTCCTCTTCCCCTCAGTCACAGTAGGTCCTCCCCCTCAGTTACAGTAGGTCCTTCCCCCTCAGTCACAGTAGGTCCTTCCCCCCAGTCACAGTAGGTCCTCCCCTCAGTCACAGTATGTTCTCTCCCCAGTCACAGTATGTCCTCCCTCCAGTCACAGTATGTCCTCTCCCTAGTCATAATAGGTCCTCTCCCCCTCAGTCACAGTAGGTCCTCCCCCCAGTTACAGTAGGTCCTTCCCCCCAGTCACAGTAGGTCCTCCCCCCAGTTACAGTAGGTGCTTCCCCCTCAGTCACAGTAGGTCCTCTCCCTACCAAGCAGACTTGTACTTTGAATGGCCCTCCTGTCCTTCTATGTATGATGGGGACTTACCATTCCAGAATGTTCTATGATTACAAGGCACCCCCCTGCCTAGGACTATAGTTTCCCTTGCAAATGTAGCAGTCATCTTCCCTTTGTCTCACAGCAGTGAAGGTCCTGGGGATGACTGGTGAGGAGGGTGTAGATAATAGTGACTGTCTCTAGGGTTTTAAAGCACTGGAAGCCCCCATGTTCTAAGTTCCTATTAAATTTAAGCATCGATCCCCAAGAGCGAAGTAATAGGGTCAGGCGAACTAAGAGCAGGGTCCTCTCCAGTCAGACTCAAGGCACTGTAAGTACAGCAGCTGCCTAGTCTATGTGGCTCAGAGGAAATCACTTAAGATCTTTGGCCTTAGCAGTGATGGTAATGATGCATCTACCTCATGTCTTGGAGGGCTACAGGTATGTCCAGGAAGGTAAGTTAAGAAGCATATTCTTAGCCCTCACCAATATCAATACCCCCCTACTCCATCCACTGTAGCAATATTATCCCTGGTTAATAGGTGGTGAAATAGTCCGGAGCAGTCATGCAAATTGTGCTAGGCCATCTTGCACCCAAATAAATGAACCTGTATCCAAAGTCAGAAAAACCTGGAAACAAAGCCCTCTGTTGGACCATCCCTTGCTCCATTTATAGTCCAGGCCTTAGCAATGTAGAGCTATGCCTGTAGCTTCCCAAAATACCAATGATTTGCTAAGTGCAATTAAAAATAACCTCTCACATTTATATCGTGTTTTACAGTGCGTAACAATTCTTTTATATCCACACTTGACTCTAAGGGGAGGCACTCTTAATTGGATAAGTTTTATGCAGTTTAGTAAAACAAAGAGAAAACATTTATAGTGATCTATAATTTCAAAATCTGTGTGTGTGTGTGTGCATGCATGTGCATGTGCACGTGTATATGTATGTGTAGATATATAAACAAGTATACTGAAAGCATTTTAAGGATATTGTCTTGGTTAAAGTTTCTACTGCTGTGAAGAGACACCACGACCATGGCAATTCTTTTTTTAAAATTTATTTATTTATTAAAGATTTCTGTCTCTTCCCCGCCACTGCCTCCCATTTCCCTCCCCCTCCCCTCTCCCTCATCAGCCCAAAGAGCAATCAGGGTTCCCTGCCTAGTGGGAAGTCCAAGGACCACCCACCTCCATCCAGGTCTAGTAAGGTGAGCATCTAATTCTTATACAGGAAAACATTTTGATTGATGACTTATAGTTCAGAGGTTCAGTCCATTATCATCAAGGTGGAGCATGGCATGCAGGCAGACATGGTGCTGGAGAAGGAGCTGAGAGTTCTTTATCTTTGATCCATAGGTAACAGAATGTGAACTGAACCACTGGGCATGGCTTGAGCATGGATGAGACCTCAAAACCTGCCTCCACAATAGCACACTTCTTCCAACAAAGCTGCACCTAATAGTGCCACTTCTGATGAGCTTATGGGGACCAGTTATATTCAAACTACCATAGATGTTTCCCCTGCTTAAACCTTTCACCTCAAATTTAGCCATCCCACCCCAACCCACTTATGTTCAGCTCAATGCAAACAGTATGCAGGGTCTTTGGAAATAGATCCTGGAGCAGTACAACTGCTTTGCATAGGGCATGACCTGACTGAAGTCTGACCAGGTGGTTTGAGCCTGAAATCTTCAATGCTTGGGAGGCTGACGCAGGAGAATGCCAAGTTCAAAATCAGTTTGGGCTGTAGAATTAATTTGTAGTGAGATGCCATCTCAAAACAGAAGGTGTGTTGGTTAATCTTGGTTGTCAACTTGATTTCTAGAATCAACTAAATCCTAGGCACCTGGGCACACCTGTGAGGAGCTTTTCTGGAGTGGGTCATTTGACTTAGGAGGCCCATCCTAAATCTGGATCATCTTAGGTCACAAAACCCACCCTAAACCTTGGCCACACCTCCCGTGGCAGCTCTCGGTAACGGGGCATGGACAAAAGAAGCATTTTCCTTTTGTCTGCTTGCCCTCATTGTTGTTGGCAAGTTCATCTGCCCTGTTGCTGAGGCTTTCCTTCACTGGTATTAGAACC